CTCTTAGCTTTCCCACATATTCAAAAGACCCACAAAATTACTTTCCGAATTATGTTGTATATAAATATTGAGCTTAACATTTATCCCAAAACACCCAATAAAACAATAAAAAAGCAAGAATTCAATTATTCAATACAATTTATGATATTAGAAGCTTGCAGAACCTAAGATTTTTCTTTAAATGACAACAAATGCTAGAAAATCCATCAAATATTGTCGCCCCTATTTTGAATTTTTCATGGACTTCCCAAATAAAATCTCACTAATCACTGAGTAAATATCACAAATCACAAACGATAATTCAACAAATCACATTGATGATCCATCACAAATCATGAATATATTTCCAAATTTCAGATAATGAGATATAATAATAGGAGCAATTAATCAAAGCAAAACTATCCAACGGAATGTAGATGTTGTTTGAAAGCAATGAATTGAGGCCTTGGAATTGGAATTAAGAACTATTTAAATCAGAGACTTTAGCTAAACACTCTAATTAAATGTTTGAATACCTAATAAGACATTTTAACAAACATGTTGTGTGCATAAAATTAATAAGAAGAAATCCAAATGTAAATAAATAAATAAAAATCCAATGATAGCCAACTAGAACTAAAATAAGCAAAAAAATTGAAACTCCTTAGTTGCCTTTCCAGAAATGGAAAATTAATACCTCACAAAGGAAATTTTGTAGGGAATACCTTTTACCCAAGTGCAAATGGCAACAATGACTGTGATTTTCCGACGGGTTCTTCTTTTACTTCAATAAAATTGATTCTGCCAAGTGCAAATGCCAACAAGTGCTGTGAGTTCATGGTTTCTTCGTCGACGATGGACGTTTTAGCGGTGGTAGTCGACGGCAAATTCGGTAAGGGGAGTGAGTTGATGATTTCTTCTTTTTCTGGGCAGTGAGTTCAGGGTTCTTCTTGTTTTTTTGGGCAGTGAGTTTAGGTTTCTCTGTGTTGTTTTTGATTTTGGTTTCACTCTTTTATTTTTTATTATTTTTTAAACTCCAAAATTGGCAGCTCTTTTCATGACATTTACACAGTTTGTGTACAATTTTTCATCTAGTTAAGTCTCATTTAATGAAGAACATGTCAGGTATTTAAATTATCTAGAGAAGCAAAAATGTCCAAAATTGACAATCTTGCAAATACTTTTAAAAAGTGACATTTTTGTAAATTCAAAGCCAAAAATTGACATCCAGTGCAATTTCTTCTTGTTAGTAAATGCGTCATATGCCTTTAAAAAATATGCGGTAGAATGAACTCTAAGAGTGTTTTTGACAAGGGATATTTTCCATGAAAAATAGAATTCAAATTCCATTTTCCATCTTTTAGCATGTTTGATGGTACAAATTTTCCCTTGAAAACTTTTTCCACAATTCCCTCATATGGTACAAATTTTCTCTAGAAAACTTTTTCTACAATTCCCTCACCCATGTGCCAATTCCATGATTTGGTGGAATTGATTTTCCCACCTTTTTTGTGGGAAAATGAATTTCTGTTGTTTTTTATTTTTTTTGCAATGGAAACAAATTTCATAATAAATTGTAAAATTTTTTTTCACTTTAATTGACAATTTTCATGTAAAACAGAGCCGAACGAATACTAAACTTTGATAAAAAATAATTTTTTTAGGAAAAAATATTTTTTTTCGTTTTTTTTTAACCTTTTGGCAATGGAAACAAATTTTATAACAAATTGTAGAAAAAATTACCACTTTCATGGACAATTTTCATGTAAAATAAAGTCAAATAAACATAAAATTTAAAAATTTTTCGGGTGAAAAATCATACTAATCAAATACACTTAATTTCCAATTCTCTGGAAAACAATTTTTAACAATTACTTTCCGTGAAATTCATTTTCTTTCCACTAATTTTCTACCTTTGCAATCAAACGGACCTTAAATAATTCATTCAAAAAATTCATTAGCTGACCAAAGTCAAACCACCAAAGTCAAACATTTGGCTATTTATTAAAAACATAAAATGATAACTCTACATTTTCCTATCTAAAATAATTAAAATAAAAAGAAACAAAACAAAAAGTAAGCAAATAAATGAAATGATATTCTTTCATCTTCTTCCACAAAAGCTTCCCCTATGCCCCTTACGCTTACCTATTTTGCGGAATACCCCATCACCTTTCATTTTGATGCAAAATTCCCCTAAATCACCAAAATCTTGTGGAACAATATTTTCGTCCATTTTATACATAAAACATTGTAAACGACAAATTTGCTCCCTCCTTTAAATAAAAAAAAAAGGAAAAAAGAAANAACATGACCACAGACAGGATTTAACTGCCCCACTGAAACTCGATATCAGCAAAACTTTTCATTTAATCCAGAGACGGACTGAATTGTCTGTCTGGTTACTTTGCTTCCCTTTTGCACCTTATACATAACTGATATTGCTTATTTTTCTTAACAATTTACGGATATTAGATATGAGCCTCAAAGGGTCATTAATTCAGACCGTTTAAATAAAAATGACATGTTTAAAAACTTAAAATAAAACAACATTTCATTCAGACTCAGTGCTACCAACAAATTAAGTTTTTTTTTTTTTTGATAACCGTGGATGTTCGGCCAGCTTGTGCACCTCGACTAATTCCACGAGGCCCTAAAGTTTATGATCGGGTACTCACTTCAGTGGCTCTGAGGGGACTTGAACTGGTGACCATTGGAGAGCAAACCCAAAACCTGACCAATTGAACAACTCCTCAAGGTTCTGAGTTGACTTGTTATCTCTTTCCAAACGTTAAATGATTCGCCGTATCAGCGCCACATCAAAGCTCTAAACACGCCTTACCAAATTTTAACTCTTAAATGCGTCTCTTCCCATAGAACACAACCAAAAACATGAAATCAAGAAATCCCAAATCAATTGTTAAAGCTCCATCCCCAAATCCCTCAATCTCGACACTTGAAGGGGATTGATGTTTTTATCCCTTCTTATTGAACTCCTTGGTGCAAGCTACCTTCATCCGACGAATTTGTGGTTCAGCAAGTAACTGGGGTGGCAATCTTTGCTCTTTTCATTTGCATTTCCACTGCGGTATTTTATGTATTTTTTTGAATGACTACGCACAAAATATATAGTGATCCCAGTACAAAAAGCTGTGGAAGAAATACCAAAAAGATGAAAAAGGAACCAGAAGCAAATAAAGATCTGAATCATAAGAGAAATCAGAAAAATGATATCCACCACCATCATTGGATGAACATTGGGACAATAGTTCCTCTGACGACAGTAGTTACAACTCATCCACCTCGATATCATTGCCCTCTTCCTGTTCGTCCTGAACTACACCTTGACGATCGTCCAATCCAATTTCAATCCTGTCAGCCACGTTTATATCAAATTCGATGTCATCTTGTTCAGATTCAAAGTCGTGGTCGAAATCTATGAAGTCCGGATCTTCCTCACAATCTGCCATACAAGTAAAGCACATTAAGCAAGAGTACATCCAATTGATCAAAATTTAAACCAACATTTAGCCAAACACCAATTTCCCAAATCATTTTGCATAAGTATTATCCCAAGTGATGCAAGTCCAGTGATATTTTAAGTAAATAAATGGAGAAAAGCTCAGAAAAGCTTTAAAGGATTAACTTGGAAAGCTAGTATGATGATAATATGACCTCAAAACATATATAGGAAATGACAATCAGGTAAATTGAATCAGAGCATCAATCCCATTGGTATTCCAAGTTTGTCATGGCCAAGAAGTCAAACTCGGGAAAGCTAAAATTCAAACTGGGAAGGCTAGAAGATCTCTTTGAGCTTATTTTTCGTTCCAAAATATAATTTTAGAAGTTAGTTTCTTTACTAACAAAATAGTAATAATAGTAATATAGGATAATTAATTAAACGACACAAGCACCAAAAAACCTCTATCTAATTTCTCTCTGTCATCTCACCCACAATAATCATACAACCCACAGCTGCATAATTCTTAAAATAAGCTTCGTACTATTTAAAATGCCCGAACACACACACACACACACACAAAAAAGGTGTTTCGAATTTACCTTCAAAGGGTTCGTCCATTTGACCCCAACGAGTCCTTGCTCGAAGTCCTGAAATATAATGGGTGCTGCTTCTTCACGTGGGTTGGGCTCTTCGAGTGGTTAACAATGGCGGGGATTGAGGGATTTGGGTAACTGATTTCCTTGATTTGTGGGTTAGGGTTTCGAATGTGATTTCTATTTGGGGGTTTGATGATTTTGAAATCGATTTGGGAATTTCCCTCCTTCCGTTTTTTTTTTTTGGGAGACGGTGAAGACGTGTTTTAAGAGTAAAAACTTGATGGAGGCGTGTTTGGCTGTGTGACGTGGCGCTGACATGGCATTCTACACAAACAAGCTACAAGTTTAAAAGGAGACTACTACAATGTCAAAAAAAAAAAGTGATATGCACCCGAAAAAAAGTGATATGCACCCTGACAGATCACTCACAACACCAAGAGGAGGGCCCACAATATTTTGGAAATTTTTTATTGCATCGAGTCCCACAACAATGTGAGAATTAGTCAAACCGCGAGTCCGATTTTTTCTAATAAATGAGCTTTATCCGGTTTAAAAACAGGGGTAAACAAACACCTAATCAATTGTTATCGTCCAATCCTGTCACCCAATATTCTGTCAATCACCGTGGCCAAGCAACATTATTCGGAGATAACAGGCCAGCTCAGATTTCCGTCTTCCATGTCAACGTTAACTAAGATGGCAGCCAGCCACCCGTGCCGAATGGAGGATAATTGATTAAAGTTCAGTGGGTGATTTGACAATTTTGGAAGTTCAATGGGTAAACCGTGACAAGGTTAAAATAAAGTGGGTGAGTAATGAAACATTTCATTTTCAGGGAATCTAGTTTAAACGTCAGGAGGCATAGCGAGGCATCGACAACTGTGTTAAGGGCGGGTGTAACTCAGAAGGCTAAGAAATCCTTGGAATTGGGTCTCCGGCGTTAAGAGGACAAATTTACAATGCGGAGATTCTTAGCCCACAATGCTAGAAGAAGAAATAATTTCACCAATTGCGTGTTGCAGCATGGCACCTTTCCTCTACGTATATGGACCAGCACCAGTAGTCCTGGTCATTTTTCTGGTTCTGTGACTTCTGGTGGTTCAGCGTCAGCTCCACCACTCACACTTGATACCATCAATCCTAAGGTAAATTACCCCTTATGGTTTGTGCGTTTTTCTTCTAATTCTAATTCTGATTTTGGTTTTTCTTTAATTACTGGGTTTTCACTGTTTCTAAAATTTGGTGTTTGTTTTGCCATAATATTTTCTGAATCTTATTAGTATTACTCTTTTTCTTTTCTTTTCTTTTCTTTCTTTCATTTTTTTGACTATAGTGCTGTCAGTGAGGTTTTAATATGCGTTACCTATTAGTATTGCTGTAGCAGGTTTTGATCATGCGCTCAAGCTTTTGCATTGTTTTGCTGATTTTTATTTAATTATTGCTTCCATTTCTGAATCTTAGTGTGCATCTAGTATTTGATTTTGTGCTTGATATGGTTTTATATTTTCATTTTCTTTGATTTTGAAGGTTCTGGTGGCTATCTTGTAGCGGGGGATCAGTATTTTCTTTTGAATACCATTTTCCTTGCCTTTTGTTCTTGACCATTTCTACACTTCGTGTTTTTTTACCTTCTTTTGATTGTAATAGAAATCTTTGTAGAAAGACATATTGTTGGTTTAGCTCAAGAATTGATCTTATAATTCCATGATAATATGATGGACCTAGAAATGAATTCCATTTTATTTTTTATTCTAAAATACAAGTTAGGCACAATAATGTTTTCCACAATTAGTGGAAAAAATTCAATTCCATCTCATCTAATGGGACATTGTATTATCTCTCAATTCTTTGAAGTTCGATAAATTTTCCAGAATGGTTGAAGGAGCAATCTTATTAAGTCCTACCTTTTCAGGTTTTGAAATGCGAGTATGCTGTCCTTGGAGAAACATTTATCCTTGCTCAGGTTTGATGATGCATTTACTGCGGATTATACATATTCAGTCTCAGAATAAATTTCTTGCAGACTTTTTTGTAAGATGTTATGTGTTCACAGAGATTACAGCAAAAGTTGAAGGAGAACCCAGGTTCAAATCCTTTTAATGAGGTACCTGTTTCATTACATTTAATTAGAGCTTAACATTCTACTTCAAGCAATAAATACATGCTTTTACCTCAATATACTTCTCTATGTTTTGTGTTTAATATTTACAGTTAATAAAGAAGATGGATTTTATATATGAATCTTAAGTGAAAAAGGGACTTCTGCTATGTACTAGTAAACTCTAATTACAGGTTAATCTTACTTAATGCATTCTTTGTTTAAAAGTGCTTATTAGAATTTGTGAGTTACCAACTAATCTCCAAGGAGCTTGTGACGCTTAAGAAGCTTCGTAAGCACTTCGGGGAATAATTCACCTTTTTTAGGCCATGTCAAAAGACTTTGAATTACACTTTGGCCAATACAGAATTTGAGTTTTTTCTTCCCCGTCCATGTTTGAAAAGTTTCCTCTCCAGGTAAGGTTATAATCTATCCCACATCAACAAAGAGTAGATACTTCTCTTGCAAAATGGAGCAATAAATGATTTTTTTTTTTCGAGCTAGCGTTTATATTGTAGGGTTGTATGAGGGGTCTTACACTCAGTCTCTACCTTTTTGGCCTTAAGTTAAAGTGCTCGTACCTCCCCACCTGGTGCATTTCTAACAAGATTTTGAATAAGCAAAAATGAAAACTAATTTTTGCGGGATTCTTGTTCGCTTTGTTTTTGGCAGTTACTATACTGCAATCTTGGAAATCCACACTCCCTGGGTCAGCAGCCAATCACTTTCTTTAGAGAGGTGTGCTTGATAATCTTTATTCTTAACCCTAGGGAATACTATATTCATTTTCTAACGTTTTTTGTCCTTATTTAGGTCCTTGCATTATGTGACCATCCTACCATGCTGGACAGAGCTGAAACACGGGGTTATTTTAGGTATTAAGTGAATTAAACTATATACCTCATACTTGCATAATGTAATTATTCATTTCCTTTATAAGATCAATATGTCAAGTGTATAAATTAGATAAATTGCTATCTGTTTGATAGATATTAATTTATAAAATGATGCCGTTAATAAGCTTGTAGTTTCTACCTGATTAGAATTCAATCATGTAGCAAAATATGTTTATTTATTTATCTTTTTGTAATTTCCAATGTGAAATGGACCTGCAGACACATTTAGAATACATAAGAGACATTAGAGACATGCTAGAGAGACACTAGAAACTTTTGTATCAAAATAGAAATTACAATATGGCATTTTTAAGTCCAAATTAGGACACACTGGAAAATGATTTTGGTAGTTGTAGACCCAAAAAAGTAAAGAGAGTGACGATGCTAGTTGAATTTGAGTGGTTCATCTTCAGTATATTTTCGTTAACAAAGTTCAGCGAGTAATTATAACGACAGTCCATCAGGTGTTACTAGTCCTCAAATTTCCAAATTCCAAATCAAAAGTTTCAATAAATCTGGAGATCATAAGCAATGGCCACCTTTCATGTTGTTATCTTTAACTGAGAGTAAGATGCTAACATATATGGATGAGCAAGAAGATGAACGAGGGTTAAAATGCTCATGTTCAAAAGTGTGTGTTATTTCAGTTTATCTGTCCTTGTCAAATTTAATTCTATGATAGCCAGAAATGAATATCTAAATTTTTATTTCACATTTTTAAGTGTCAAATTATCGCCACACCAAGGGAAGGTTGATTTTATAAAAATGTAGGATTCCCATAAACATCACTTTTCTGACCTAGGTTCAATGTAGTTTTATCTTTTAGGATTTTACATTCTAAGAAGGATCGTCAAGGATAAAGAGCTGATCACCCTCCTTTACAGCATGGCTAACTTTTAAGTTCTTTGATGTGACAAAAATTGGTTTGCTATCTGGTTAGTGACAAATCCATATTACTGTGTGCTTTTCTGATGGATTTTGTAGTGCTGATGCTGTAGAGCGAGCATTTCAGATCCTCAATCAAATTCCTGAAAGGGCAACTGGTGCATATAGTCATACTCAGGTAACAATGCCTTCTTTTGAAATCTTTGTAGCAGTAATTACTCAGGACTCTTTTGCAGACGTATCATTTGGATTTTCTTTTATTATATGAAATCAGGGTATCAAAGGCTTACGTGATACAATTGCTTCTGGTATAGAAGCTCGCGATGGATATCCAGCTGATCCAAATGATATTTTCTTGATAGATGGTGCAAGCCCAGCTGTAAACATGTTACCTTTCTAGTTCTTTGCACAAGATATTCCAAAAAAAAAAAAAAGGAAAAGATTTCCGGATGCTGATTAACATTTTTCCATCCTTTTCAGGTTCATATTATTATCCAATTATTGATAAGGTCAGAGAAGGATGGTATTCTCTGTCCCATTCCTCAGTACCCTCTTTATTCTGGTTCCGTTGCCTTGCACGGAGGCTCCCTTGTATGTATGATGTACTATAGGACTATTTGTCTGTCAAAAATATTTTGTTTTGGTATTCCTTCCAACATGCTTTTAACTTTTTGGTATGTCAACAGCGTAAACATCAATGATGTTCATAGTTTGAGTTATGTTTTTGCTATTTTTGACAAGGAAGGTTCTGATGTAGGATTCTCATGCGCAGGTTCCTTATTATCTTGACGAAGAAACAGGATGGGGATTGGAGATATCTGAGCTTAAGAATCAGTTGGAAACTGCAAAGTCCAAGGGTATTACTGTCAGGGCTTTGGTTGTAATAAATCCTGGCAATCCCACAGGACAGGTGAGAAATTATTAGATATCACAAGCCACTTGAGGAATTTCCTTTATAGCAAATAGCCTCGTCGAAATCTGATTCTCTCATGCACCTATGACCTAGTTTATTATTCATTTGAATGTTTTGCCCCATATTTTAACAGGTTCTGGCTGAGAGCAACCAACGAGAAATTGTGGATTTTTGCAAAAATGAAGGGCTTGTTCTTTTAGCAGATGAGGTGACTATATTCTTTCAGGGCATACTCAATGGTATAATTACCAAGATTGTACTATTTTTTTTGTTCTTTAATATTGCCAGGTACTATCTAATCCTTCCTACCAGACGTGTAATTAGAGTCCGAGTTCTATTCTTTGAGCCATTCCAGTTACATTTAGAAAATTTTCTGGTGCCTCGACCTATTTTCGCGTTGAAACTAACTGAGACAATAGTGTCTCCACATGACCCCTGTGTCATAAACCTTTTATAAATGATCGTCTTTGACTGTGTTGGTTGGCCTGCCCAGGTGTACCAGGAAAATGTTTATGTGCCTGACAAGAAGTTCCATTCATTTAAGAAAGTCTCCCAGAGCATGAAGTATGGAGAGGAAGACATACCCTTAGTTTCTCTCCAGTCTATATCTAAAGGTACAGTAATCAAAATTTCAATAGACCGTAATTACCATTAAGGAACCAGTTCACAGTTGATGAGCTTCTGCTAATTCATTGGCACTAGGGTATTATGGAGAGTGCGGAAGGAGAGGGGGTTACATGGAAGTTACTGGTTTTAGTTCTGAGATAAGGGAGCAAATATACAAAGTGGCATCTCTGGACACTTGCTCCAACATATCTGGTCAGATCCTTGCAAGTCTTGTCATGAACCCTCCCAAGGTTTGTTATTATTTTCCTGGGGTATTAATACTCAGCACCAATGATCCATATAGATACATTTTTATAATTTTAGCATAAATGGTAATAATAATGATTATAAAGTAATTTAGCCATTGGCCTTGTGCTGGTTGAACAATAGATGAACTGAGACTTGATGGATAAAGTTAAATTTGGAGGAAAGTTTCAACGAAGAGAGAGTCTTGGATCAATAAGTTGAAAATTGTGAGGCGCCATTTTCACCTAATGTAAGCTGAGGAACCTTCAACCCAGCTGCTCACAGCCATTAATTAGAATGCCATTAGGGACATAATGAAATAGCATCCTTTCAATTAGCTGCAGTTGTTTGCAAATCGAGTTCCTTGTATTTCATCACCATAACGAGTAACTGTTAACTTTCAAAACTTGATATTTCCAAACTACCGCATCTGCATGCCTACAAATATTGCAATAAATAATTTCTTTTCTGTTGTGTGTAGGTGGGTGATGAATCCTATGAATCTTTTTCTGCAGAGAAAGAGGCAATCCTTTCATCCCTAGCAAGGAGAGCGAAGGTCAGACTTTGACGTAGTTTATTTATTTATTTATTTTTTTAATAATGTTAAAGTAAATGATAACTTGGTCATTTGTTAAGTGAAGAGAAAAAGTGGAAAACAGACTTTTGATAGGCTGTCAATCCTTGAACACATATATCAATCCTATCCGGTTGTATTGAGTAAAGATGTATGTAATGAGTAAACAAAATTTTGATAATTGGCCATCAGTTGCGACTTCATTGGGCTTGATATGACTTTCTTTTTTGTCGCATGCCACTTTTATTTTCGACTTTTTGACTTTCGGATGTAATTTTATTTTTCCATTCTTTGATCTTCAGACACTGGAAGATGCATTGAATAGTTTAGAAGGAGTGACATGCAACAGAGCGGAAGGAGCAATGTATCTGTTTCCTCGTATTGAGCTGCCAAAGAAAGCCATTGAAGCAGCTAAAGCTGTGAATACTGCCCCGGATGCTTTTTATGCTCGTTGTCTGCTTCATGCCACTGGAATAGTTGTTATTCCTGGTTGCGGCTTTGGACAGGTATATGCTACTGATGAGAATACCAATGACATGCATGTCTCTCTAATATATCTTCATAGTTGAAGGTCATTTGTAGTCAGTTTTTGGACAAATTATCCATGGATAATTTGGTCAAGAACATGAAAGATGGAGCTCAACTAAAACCTTGGAAACCATAGAGACCTGTTGGAGTTCTGTAAGACAAAATTTAACCAGTGTCAAACTGGCTTTCCCTTTTCTTTCTCCTCTTTTACTTTTCTTGTGTGCGTGTGGGGCATAGTATGGGGCTTAATCAATAGAGGGTAGCCTCCAGGGTGTGAATCCCCTCATATAACTTAGAACCTTTTGATGCATATGCATCTCTTCGATAGCTGACATTGTGGTGGCACAATTTCTATATTTCTAAATTCGTTTAATTATAATTGTATTCATGTTAATCAACGCGTGAGGCTCACACGAACTTGCTAGTCATTCTTCTCATTTTTCAATACCTGTTGTGTCTTATACTTCTCGTATGTTGCGTGTTTTTGTGGTAGGTACCTGGACAATGGCATTTTAGGTGCACAATATTACCTCAAGAGGATAAAATACCAGTCATTGTTTCTAGGCTGACTGAATTCCACAAAGCATTCATGGATGAATTTCGTGATTGAGGAACTAATGCAACCCGCACATGGAAATTGTGGACTATTTTAATAGTTTCAAGATTTTAGTATTTTATGGTAATTTTGGATTGGTAGTTTTTCAATTAGCATCAGAGCATGGTTTTTATTATAGCACAAGATTTCATTGTATAAATTAAAACCACCCAGCACTATGGAATCAATGAATCTTTGATGCTTAACTTCATGAAATTCACAAGTGAACCAACAGAAGCTAAAAGGTTGTGCATGATTTCCGTTTTCAATCTTTAAAGTCTGATATCTTGTTAGCTCTTATTTTGATTCACATTGTAGCTTTAATAGAGTTAGTAGGTGTTGATTCATGTCACTTTGTCCCTTGTATTGGAAACAAAGTAGTCCATAATCTTGCATCTTTAGCTACTTTTACCCAGTTTCCGTGTACTGATATGCCTTCATAATATAATGGTGCTTTGTTTTTCAAAAGAGAAAAAAAAAAAAAAAGATAAAAGATAAAAGAAACAGCCTGAAAAAAACTTTTTAAAGTAATACATGAGTTTCTACAAGACAGATTATTTACTCAAGTTCGTTGTAAGAGACATTGATTCATTTCATAGAGAATAAGTTAACAAGTCCATAGTAGTTTCCACATTGAAGCAAAAAAAATCATCATAATAGTGCACAATGACTCGAGCATAGGACTATCGGGAAAATGAAATGCAGTGAAAATCAGCAAAAATACAAATTGATGGCCTTTTCCTCATAGGCGGGTGATAACCTCTTCAACCTCAGAAGGCGAGTACAGATGGTAGGTTGGTGCGACCTTGGCAATATCAACATTGTTGGGTGTAACCTGAAATCAGATGGACAAAAAGTACAAAATGAAAAGCATGAAACCTGTAATTAAGGTTCACCAGAAGCAGCATACCTTTTCTTCCATCACTTGCTTCAGGATGGAAAGCGCAATGGTTTCTGCTTCTTGCAGGGTAAGATCCTGCAAGCAAGCAAAGAAATGGAGTTCAAATTCAAAGTTCACAAGGATTGTGTTATGAATGCTTAGGTGTGGATGGCCAAACATCATAATCGTTAACAGCCTACAGAAATAGCTCCAATACTCATGAACATTCAACAATGGCTGCTCACTTTTGGTTTAGACCATTTTAGTTTCTTTGATCATTTTTACTGTTTTAGTAAGGTGATTTATTAGGTCATCAAAAATTGGTTATAAGTAACCTTCAAAGTTCTGAAATAATTGATCATTTTTAATTAATGTTCACGAACATTATATAGAATGTTGTAGAACAACTATGGTGCCTCCTACCAAGAATACAGTTACATTGAAGTGTCCACGTTAAAGTAAATTACCTTGTTGTACTGCTCCTGCAAAGAACTGTCAGCACCTTCAGATCCTGATCCAATGGCTTTTGCATTGCATTGCCAGAAAGTACCAGAAGGATCGGTATAGTATCTGTGCATTGAAACTCCCTTTCAGTGTCGATTGTCTAAATAAATAATCCTGGCAGAAATATTTTGAACAAAAACATTCTGGTAGAAAACACTAGTGAATAGTATATTATCTGAAAGAATGGCGTGCACTATTACTTTCAAAGAAGAAAATATAATTATCCGTATCATCATATTTAGAAGAGGATAGAGAATCCATAATGGAACCACAGTCCAATCAACTATGTAAACAGTCATGACTGCACACATAACTTGATTGTGAATGGTAAAGATCAAATATGTATCAAATGTGTCTGCTTACTAAGAATGTTAATTTTGACCAACCACATTCATTGGGAGAATGATGCAGAATCGAATAAATGTACCTTTGGAGTCTTTTATTTAATTTTTTAATGGTGTTCAGAAAATTTTGTGAAAGAGTTGAATAAATGCCATCTAGCTTTTAGTAGGGACATATTCCAAGCCAAGTATAATCCTTTAAGAGAACAGAAGTAATGCCTAGGAGGTTAACTTGCCACAACAGTTGGGCATACATCCTACATTTAGTGTTCCTTATGTACATTATTATCAAGGGGAGGAGATTAGGGTGGTCATCAACAAGCAAGCTACAGTCAGTTTCTTACATAGAGAAGGTAATGATGTAGAAAGGAATTAATCAGCGCAAGCAAAGGAGTGAAATAAGCCAAGCAGTCTTTTATTCAGTTTTATTAGAAAGAAATTATTAATTTTTTAATTAATTTTGGAAGTAGAGAGTCAATAGTTTGTTTTCATAGTTATATTACTATGGAAATACCAAATCAAGAAATTATAGGTGTCATTTCTTATGACAATATTTAATTTAAATAATTCTCTGCAAACTGGAAATAGAAAAGCAGAATATCTATCTTCAAGACTTTAATAACAAACTATCAGATTTTTTGCTTCCAATTTCAAAGATTTTTTCCTCTAGATTTTCCTCCAAAGATTCTGGCACAAATTTTGGAGTACCAATTATGCCTACTTAGAGAACCATGTGACACCTGCTGCAGAACCATGCCTACAAAATCATTTTCCTACTCAAACTAAAGTATCAAATTTCCTAGATCTTTTATTATATACGGCCCTTTCTTAAGAAAACAGTCTATGAGGACAAAAATGTAATAATAATGGCAAATAAAATTAGAACATGTAACCTGCTGTTGCTAATTACATTTTTATTCGCAGCATGATTTCATCTCAAATTAGCAAGTACCATATAACTTCTTTACTGATGGTTTCAGTATTCAGAACATCCCCACATTTCCGACACATCAATTAATCACACAACTTTCGTTAAAACGAATTAAGAAACTTCAATTTAGGAGACACGTGAGCAAAACCAATAAATATTCCAGATGGCAAAAAATGAAGCAGAAGGCAGAGATAGCTTAAACCAATTTAAACAGAAGAAATACTCACAAGCTGGGTCCATTCTCATCATGACCAGCAATGAGAAGAGACACACCAAAAGGTCTAGACTGCATGAAAGAAACCAAAAATTAGAAACGTGTACAAGTAATATGCTCAACATTTCAAACCTTCAAGAGGACAAAAGAGATGAGAAGTGTGAACATTGACACACAGGTAGCCTAAGGCACTAAAGAAGTGCATAAATCGGAGTAGGAGACCCTTGAATAGCAGCATTCATATAAATAGCACAAAACTAAGGTCTGACATTCACAATGTAATGTGGCGCCTCACGCCAAGCATGTAACATCTCTTGGCAGAGTTGAGAGAAGAACAGAAAACTCCCAATGCACAGATCATATCCAGGACTATCATGCAGAGTCAAGTACCATTTATAATTAATGATTGAAGGTCCCAAGCTAATATGAAACTCAAATGATAACTAGAGAAACCGCACGAGCTTTACAAATGACAAATCAATATCAAAAGGCATACTTAGCCTCTGTTTGAGCCCCATTCTATAAAAACTCCTTTCCCCCCAAAGTCATTTTGAACCACACGTACTCCCAGTAAAATAATTTTGCACGTAAATCCAAAACTTTTCGCAACTTTTTAACCACATTTAAAAAAATAAAATCATTACACAAATTTTATTTCCCAAAAAATGGAGCTCAAACAAAACCTTAAAAGTGTAGGAAAAAATGCGAACAAATATAGGGACAATTTTGTGCGAAAAAGAAGAGCAGCTAACCATAGATTCTTCGTCACCCTCACCAAATCGCAGGGCTAGATCACAGAGAGCTTGTGTAGTGGACTCAACAGTCATGGGCTCACCATATGAGAACCTATGATTCTATAAGATACAAAACTTCAAAATAAGCAATTGACTAATATTAATATAGACTAAGAAGTACAATGACTGTATTATATAAGTACCTGAGTTTCAACTCGTGCATGTTCAACCAGAGTACGTGCATCAGCAATTAAGCCACTCATGGCACAACCGATATGATCATCAATTTCCATAATTTTCTCAACGCTGCAAGGCTCCTGTAAGAGTTTAATTTTGAAACATAAAAGAAAGCTTATGCACAATAAATGCTAGTCAATAAAATTTTATTCTTCTTTCAAGTGAGAAACTCAGTCTTCTACCCTGGAGCAATTAGATTTTATAGGCATTCTTGTTTGGGAAGTGCTTATAAACAGTTAATATTATAAATTGAAAAAAATGAGTGGTAGGAAAGTGGATAATCCTTGTGGATCCCGTGAAATGAGTGGATAAAAAGTGATTTCACCATTTACGAACCATTTATAAACATTCGCCAAACATCTCAATCTACTTAAAAACAAACCCACAAACTCCACTGAACTTCACCTTACCATCCAATACTTATCTGTGGTTGGCTAAAATAAACCAGCAAAATTTACTATTTTTGCCTTTAATCCAATTATTAGAATCCCATTTTAAGATTGTTGCACTCTATTATTTTTCTTATTTTTGGGTTCGCATCGAGCAAGTAATTTTTGTTTTTTTAGTCACGCAATCAATGAAGATTTGAATGTCTTTAGTAAAAGTTAAAAGCCACAAAAGAACAAATTTTATTCACATCTTTAGCACATTTTTAATCAACAAGTTTATGAGTCTTGCCAACACTGTGATAAGATTAAAGAAAAGACATTAACATGTCTCCAGGAGAAGAATACAATCTACCAATACAGAGTTAGATATGAATTTGATACCATCAACTAAGCAGACCTGTGAATAATACATTAAAATCCCACCAAAAAGGAGATAGCAAACATACCAGAAGTGGCGAGGTAATGCGCTTTTCAACTGCAAGAACCACCCATTCCTTAGTTTTTAACCCTATTGCTGTTGAACCCAACTGAAATGCATGTAATAGTACCAATTAAGCAAAATTCACCAAAAAATACCAACAACAAAAAGCAAATTGCAGAATCATTTCAGCTTCCATACTTACCTTGATAGCTTCAATGGCATATTCTACTTGAAACAATCGGCCTTCCGGAGAGAAAGTGTTGACTCCTCTATCATACTCAGTTCTTAAAATGCAAAACAAAAAACTATTAAACAACAAAATCTCGGAAAACCCCAAATATTTGAGTTTTAAATTCCATTTTTACCTTGTGAGAAACATTTTCGAGTCGATTAATTATAACTTCAAAATTTTGCTGCAAATAACTCAAAATGACAGAAATTTAGATAATAAAACCAATTTTTTTTGTATTAAAACCCTAAAACATGATAAGCGATAAAATTGTAAAACAGAAGCTGATCTGAGTGTGACTGACCTTCAATCTAGTGAAGAAAGAATTTCTGAGAACCCTTCTTGTCAACCAAGCAAGGACGGCAATTCGGGTCACATGGCCCGCCAAATTTGATCCACTTCTAGGCCCAAGTTGAGAGATTTTTGTAAGGAAAAAATTCATTTGTGGAAATTACACCCACCCAAAATTCTAAAATCAAATTTCATACTTTAATTTTCAAAAATCAGATTTTTTTATATATAGATACAGATTTTTTAGATTTAATTAAATATTAATAATAATATTATAAAAAATAATTTATATACACCCAACTCCCCTTCCCTAAATCAACCCTAAATCATTCCTTCTTCTCTAATTCCCTTTCCCTCTCCCTTTCCATGCTGCCGCTGCCGGCGATTCTCTCCACGCCGTCGGGAATCAGAGAAGAATGGACGATTTAGGTAGGGGAGGGGTTGGGTGTATATAAATTATTTTTTATAATATTGTTATTAATATTTAATTAAATCTAAAAAATCTGTATCTATATATAAAAAATCTGATATTTGAAAATTAAAATATGAAATCTGATTTTAGAATTTCAATCTCCAAATGTAGGGGTGAGTGTAATTTCCACTTTTTGTAAGGGTAAATTGGGCCCACTGCTCTATTAAATTAACCAAATTGAATAATACACTTTAAAATTAAATAAATTACTTATACGTCCTAAAAGTAAAAACCCCCCAAATCAGATCCCCAATTCCCGTTCCAGAAGACAAACTTCCTTAAAAGTTCAAAAGAGAAATCCTCTTTTCCGGTCTTCGCCGTTTGCTCTCTGTCGTATCCGTCCTAGGGTTTTGACCATTCCAAGTGCTGGTTGTAAGTGCTTTAAATGCCATCAAATTGGACACTGGGAGAAAGATTGTCCCGGCTTGATCAATGCTCCCCCAACTTATGGGAGTAGTAACCCAACTCCTGGGTCCAGTGTTGGTGGCGAGTGCTTTAAATGTCATCAAATTGGCCACTGGGCAAAAGATTGTCCCAGCTAGAGAAACGCTTATCTAGCTTATGGCAACAATAACTCGATTCCTGGATGATATGGTAATGTACCAAAGCAACATGTTGCTGGGTTCTAAATCTTGACTTCTGAATGGAAGTGGCCGATTGCACTTGTACAAAATAGATTGTCTGAAGGCCACCGGCCAAGTTTTGCTATGGGGAAGATACCCCCCGTTTGTGGGTTTGCTATGCTATGATTGATTTTGTACTTCTGTGTTTTAAGAATTGTTCTTGGCGTGTAGCAACACAGCGGTGTTGGTACTTACAAAGATAAGAACATGGATATGGCTTTAGAATAATTAATATCAACTTCTGAATGGAAGTGGCCGATTACACCTGTACACAATGAATCTTCTGAAGGCCACTGGCCAAGTTTTGCTATGGGGGAGACACCCACTGTTTGTGGGTTTGCTATGCTATGATTTTGTACTTCTGTGTTTTAAAAATTGTGCTTGGCGTGTAGCAACCCAGTGGTGTCGGTACTTGCAAAGATAAGAACATGGATATGGCTTTAGAATAATTAATATCGACTTCTGAATGGAAGTGGCCGATTGCACTTGTACACAATGGATCGTCTGAAGGTAACCGGCTAAGTTTTGCTATGGGGGAGGCATCCCCTGTTTGTGGGTTTGCTATGCTATGATTTTGTACTTCTGTGTTTTAAGAGTTGTGCTTGGCGTGTAGCAACGCTTTGTAAAGATAAGAACATGGATATGGCTTTAGAATAATTAATATCGACTTTTGAAAACATTTTACTAAACATGTTTTCTGTAAATTATTTTCGCTTTTTGAGGTTTTTGAACCTTTGGTACGACCCAGCCGTTGCAATTTTCTGGTGTTAAACCTTATTTATGGTGTACTTTAGTTTTCACGTAGGTTGCAAGATTTGGTTAATAGTTAAACTGGTTATAATGTGGACACTGTAGTTTGACTGCCTCTATGAAAAATTTGTTTTCCATTTTTCGTCTGTTGTTCTTGATTGCTAACTAGCTATTGCTTTTTCTAAATTCTGTCACTTTTTTTTTGAGTTTCGATCGTTTTTTATAATGTTTGTCATTATTTTCTATTACTTTTTTGGTCAATTTTTTGACTAACAAAATCATTTTTTTATAAAAGTGAGATTGTGTCACACTGTCACTTACTTAATTTTATGCATTACCATCTAGGGATGTCAAAGTTACTCATCAATTTTATAAAAGTGACAATGTGTCACTTTTTAAAATTTTGTCACTTTTTAAGTTTTTGCCACTTTTTAAAAAGATAAAAAAAGTGAAATAATATGTTATATTTTCCTAACATGATCAGTGTGTGGATTGGTCTGGACGTGCTAATTATTTTAAGAACATGATTACTGTTGCTGCACAAATGGATGATGCTATTTTGGTATTTGTCACTTTTTTTTTTTGAGTTTGTGTCATTTTTTCATTTTACACAATATTTTTTACTTCTTAAGAACATTTCATATGATTTTTCAAAATATCCATAATTTTAAGGGTATTTTTGTAAGTACCCCTTTTTGTAATTGGCCTGGTCAATTGCCATTTTTATAAAGGCTAATTGGCACAAAACGTCCATACCTTTGAGGTTTATTGTGGAAAACATCCATACCTTTCATTTCTTGGTACAAAACGTCCATACCTTTCACTTTTGTAGCGCTCAATGTCCTTTTTGTCTCTTTTTGATCATTTTACCCTTCTATTAAAATAAAACAAAAACAAAAGAAAAGAAAAATAAAGAATAAATTGCAGTCTTACTCCTAAATTTTTTAAAAAATACAAATGAGACCAAAATTTATGAAAATATTAAAAAAAAAAAAATCTCTCTCTTCTCTTCCACCTCCCTTCGCCTTCTCCATCCCCGCCGCCAAAACCCTGAACTGTTCCATCCCTCACATTTTTCTCTCAAAAAAAGGTGATTTTTTGCCCTTTTTGATGATGTTATAATGCTGAAAATCGCCCCCTTTTTGAGATTCTTGTCGGGTTTTGGATCGGAATTCTTTGAACTAGAAGTGCATACCAATCAATTTCCAGTGTATTTGGATTTCACAGTCTATGGAAACAGGAAATTTGGAAGGCAACGAGAATTTGTTGTTTCATGGAGAGACAACATTGACACAGAATGAACGCCAAAATTATTATGTAACGCCGAAATGAACATCTTTTATTCCTCACTTGGAATAATTCAACCGATAATCTTCCTCAGAACACCAAAACTCACTAGTCAAATCTCTATACAGAAAGATATGGAACAATGCCGCCTTTGATAACGGAGTTCTTAAAGAATTTTCTCGGAGTAAGCCTTCTTGGAGTCCTCGAAGCCCATTTTGTTGAATTCAACAGAGTCGTTCATCTTGAATTCTTCGAGCAAAGAGAATGAAGGTCCTCTATTTGAGAACCCAATTTCTTCTGTTTCTTTTTCTCTCATACCTGGTGACACCCTTCAAGCCAGATTCTAATGGGGCTCCGAAGAATTCAAAAACTAGAGGAATTTTGAAACAGGGTTTTGAAGAAAAAGTGGATTTGAAGAGTTTTGATGAGGAAATTGAGGGGATTGAATTAAAAGATTGACTTCAAGATTAGAGGCTTTGAAACTGGAAAAGTCCGAGAAAAGTGTAAAAAATGTGGAAAAGAGAGGAAGAGTAATCTGGGCGAAGTTTATGGAACTGAAACAGTGTGTTAAAAATGAGGAAGAGAAGAAAGAGATTAAACAAACTTCATCAATATGAGCAAGAACTGCAGTTCAGAGGAAGGGACTTAGTTTAGGACCTGCAGAATTTTTTACTGGAGCACGAAGGGGAATGAGTATGGGGCCTTCTGAGATTTCTGGATCTGCAAAATTCCAAAAATTGGGCAAACAAGAGAAGAGAGGCGGAGGAGAAGAGAGGGAGAGAGAGTTTTTTTTTTCCATAAATTTTGGATTCATTTGCATTTTTAAAAAAGTTTAGGAGTAAGATTGCAATTTATTCTTTATTTTTCTTTTCTTTTGTTATTGTTTTATTTTAATAGAAGGGTAAAATGGTCAAAAAGAGATGAAAATGACGTTGAGTGCTACAAAAGTGAAAAGTAGGGACTTTTTGTGCCAAGAAATGAAATGTATAGATGTTTTCCACAATAGACCTCAAAGATAGGGACGTTTTGTGCCAATTATCATTTTATAAAATAAGCTAAAAAGTCTATATTACCCTTAATGAAATAAATTCTTTGATTTTGCATAATATATCCTTCTTTTATCATAGGTTTGAAAATTAGTCTTTATCTTATACTTCTTCTATTTCTAATTTTAATATATAATTTCATTATATGATCTAACAAATTATAGTAATCTGTAATATATTTATCAGGTTCTTTGTTAAGTTTCTCATATTCTTCGAATAATATGTCCATATTTTCTTTTCGATCTATAATATTTCTTACTTTTTCTAAAATTCTGTCTAATAGTTTATATAATCCTTCTATGGTATATTCTGGCATTTTAATAATTAACTGATAACAAAACATGCATTATAGCAAACATTGGTATGAATAATCCCTATGATTCTTTTAAGATCTAAGAAAATTCTATCCAAATTTAACAAAAACTAATAGTTTTACCTTAATTTTGATCTTATGCTTTTATTCTCAGAACATAGTGACCTTCAAGTTTCTGGATCTGCAAACTACTCATTTCAACGACCTCCTGCCTTCAAGGGATCCTTGCTATTCCAACTTCTGCTCTCACTGTATCTTTTCTAAAAATTAAAACTATAGATCATAAACCAGGAAAACTCCCCTTTTGTTAAAGTAAGAAAGAAATCTTACCCTTAATCTTTCAAGAATCTATGAGATAAGTGGTTTAA